AAAAAAAAAAAAAAAAGGCAAAGTTGGAGCCTCTACAAAAATGTTTACTGACTTTTCAGATATAAAATCTTTCAGATAAAATTATTCTGTTTTAACAAAAAATGCAATAAAAACTACTATTCAAACGAAGGAAAGAGGAGAACAGAAGGAAGGTCTTTGAACACTGGGTTTGAGAAAACCTTCCTAAAGTGACTGTCCACGGACAAACCATCTCTTTTATTTCATTAAGACACTCAACAGTACCTACCCCTACACCTTATTCTCTCTGAATCCTCTATGTTAGTGCTATTTAGCTTATGGAATGCACGTTGAAAACCACTTAACATACGTAAATAGTGTTTATAAAGTCTACCTTGAGATTTTTGGGTGGCTTGAAATCGAAGAATGTAGTCAGCTTATTGTGAGAAACATTAAGTTCTAGAAGATAAGGCATAAAGCTCACACAAGACAAATCTGGGGGAGAAATAGATACAGAATAAGATAAGCCAACAAAATAACTAACGGCATTAAAATCAGCACATGTTCTATCAGTATATTTCTAAATTATACCAGTTGTGAGCCCATCTTAATTATTGCAGATGAAATGAATTAAATCAGGAGTGTATGAAATACAGCCCCCCCCCAAAAGTGTGGATACTCTTGATGAGTCACTAATTCAAACCTACTCCCCAGGGCCTGCCCATCTCTTGCATTGCCCTATTTTCAGGACAGCCAAGTAACCAATGGCCCAAGCCTCCTCCATGTCTCTCCTTACTCTCCCACCATCTGCTATGGCTCAGATGCTTCCAGACTCACCAGCCTTAAAAGAAAGAAGGAGAAGCTTAAGCCTTAGATAATCCTCTTGATAATTAGCCTCTAAATAACTGAATTCGGTCTTTTCAGAAAGACCAAAAATGCTGCAATAAGGAAACTCTTTGTAATAAATTAAACTCCATTTCAGTTGCATTTAATGCTAAATCTCGTTAATTATTTGAAGTGATTTAAATCATTGCTATTATTTTACTCTCCATTGGTTCAAAAGTACATCTGAGTTTTGCATTTTACCTCAAGCAAATATTCTCAACCTCAAATTCTAAGAACTATTGTGCTCATCAAGGATACTACTGATGAAATTACCTGGGGTAGCAGAATGAACCAGGGAAGGGATCAGGAAGAATCTCACAACAAAAGTTACAGCCCTGTCTCTACAATAATTCATTTCTCTACCTGAAAATGGCAATGCTAATAGCATCTCCTCTCTCTCCTCTCTCTCTCTCTCTCTCTCCAGACTTTCACTTTGTCGCCCTGGGTAAAGTGCCCTGGCGTCACTCACAGCAACCTCCATCTCTTGGGCTTAGGCGATTCTCTTGCCTCAGCCTCCCAAGTAGCTGGGGCTACAGGCGCCTG